TGCCCATCAAACTGCTGCGCCATACTGACATCATCGTCCCCGAGCTCTGCCAGCGATGATATATATATATATATATATATATATATATATTCAGCAAATCTGCGAGCCCAGGGACATGCAGCCTGGGTGAGCCGAGCGTCGTCGCCCACAATCGGCAGATCGTTTGCGCGCTCGACCCGCATGCTGCCTAGTCGTGCTCCCCATTCTGCAATGTGTCGTCTAGGGCCCCCTACCCACCTCTGATACCACCTTATCCTCCTCGCTCTAAGCTCATGTCCTACTGGAGCCATTTGCCAAACACGATTGACCTGCATGTTGGAAAGCGAGACCTTATGACCATCCTTTCCGTATGTTGCTCCTCCCCTCATCGCCCTCCGTGCATAGTGTACTGCTCGTGCTTGTAGTCTATCCAGGTGCGCTTGTGTCGAGATGAGAGCTTCTACTCCAGAAACTGCTTGCCCTAGAACCCGAGAAAGGAATGCAGCTCGCTCCTCAATTTGTGGTCTACCATATTGATACCAATATCGGCCCATGCTGTGCAAACCTGCACCAATTGCTGCGAGCCTGGCCGAAAGCTCGCTGTTAAACGCGCACTCTGCACGCACGAGGCCCCCCAGCATCTTGGCGAGGTCGCTGGGCACACCAGCTGTCGGGGGCACTTTGGCCTTAAATCTCGTGCGGCCAGCCTGCGAGCCTTCTCCGACAAGGGCCAGCATCGCCTCATTCTTAGCAGGATTGAGGTAGTAGTTGTGGGTGATGAGCTGATCGGAGAGGAGGGTGTCGTAGGATATCGATTTGGAGCTGAGCTCGGTATGAGACGCGGTGCCACTCAATTCAGTGATCAGCGTCTCGGTAGCATCGCCCACATACGTGTGAAACGACAGGTCTAACCCGATAGGTTCCTCATCCTCCTCATCTTGCGGCAAATCGACAATGCAGTCTGAAGTCTCATCTTCCCCCTCGATAAACGCGTCCTGGGTCTGCACGAAAACTATATCTATGTCCCTGGTGAAGATCTTGACCGCCCACGCCCCCCCCTGGAGAGCTCCCGCGCGAGGCTTGGCGAAGAGGAACCCGTCGGGACCTTGGAGGGCAACAGCTGACCTCATAAAGCGTTGTTTACCAAAGCAGATCTCTTGGGGCTTCACAATGGCCTCGTTGGTGCTAGAGTGGTGAGTCCAGTCAGTGCTGCCGAAGGCATTACAGGTGTCCTCGTGATCACGAATATGCTGCAAGCCTAGACGCCTGAGACGCCAACACAAACTCCGTTGAATCATCATGGCCGTCTCTCTTCGTCGTCCAGCCACGCAGCCACGAGCAAAGAGAGGCGCCCGATCGCGCTGATCGGGTCGGAGGCCTGCGGCGATAAAGGCCTTGCCGAACGGGCGCAACACGTGCACAAGCCTCTTAAAATTGATGGCAATGCCCTGGGGTAAATGCCAGGCTACTGGTGTTTGCCCTGAGCGATAAACTCGATGTAGAAATACCTTTAAGTAGTACCCGGTCTATTTCTGGTCAACCGTAGGAGTCTCGAAGCCTACCCCCCGAAACCTTTTGGAGATCCTTCTGTAGGGGTGCAGGGGCATCCAGAAGAGCTCTAGAGGGAACGACCACGGGGGAGCTGCTCTTCGTTTACTGGCCTTCCGAAAACATCTGGATATTAGCTGGAGCTTCTCCGTGGCCCACTGGAGGCCGTCTTCCGTGAATGGGGATCATGAACTGTTCGGTCTCCAGCCCTGACTCAGGATGGTACAAAAAATCTTCGGCCCCCCTGAAACCAGTCGATGATAGTGGCCTCCAATCCCCCCCTGGCTGGAGGGCAACTGAAGCCGAGCCTTCAAGTCATCTGAACATGGAACAGCAGCAGCAGCTTGTTTATAATTGCGCTTCTTGGGGCCCGTGCCCCTGGCCGACAGCAGGCGAGACAAGCGAGCAACCTCGGCCTTGCGGTCCTGCTGGTGGGCTGTCACCAGCTCGTCGGTGATGTCCTGACGCCACAGTGTGAGGTACCGTCGACGTTGGCGTCGTAGGTCCCTGCTGAGAGCCCGATGCTCGTCTGTAATGCTGCTAATCTCATGGATATGAATAGCTGCGCCTAGTGCCTCACGAAGTTGACGCCGTTGCTGTATGAGACTGGTGACGTGAGCTGCTCGCTGCTTGTACTCCGACGATGGCGAAGGTGGGGTCGTAAAGTATGGAGCTGCTGCTTCGCCGATGACCTGAAGCAAATAGGACCAATCTCTGTTGGGTGTCTGTTCCTCTCTTTGAAACTGATTCCACTCATCCATTTCGTCAGAAATCCGTTGTTCAACCTTTTGAATAAATTCCACTCTGTGAATACCTCTTCGTAGTCCGTCCATAAGGGCGTCTCTGCTCCAGCGGTGTGCTGTCTGCACAAAGCCCAGCTGTGGGTGATCAGAAACTGACGTCGGTAATCCAAGTGCGTCCGTAAACGAGTATGCAATTCGAGCATGAACTGGAATGTGATCTCGAGGCGTGTGGGCCGCTATGGCCTGTAATGATCTGCCCATGCGTCGTAGCGGCCCGACCGTGAGAATCTGAAATAACGAGCACCTCGGGACAATGATGTAGTCCAGCTGGCTGCCTTGTCCTTTGTTATTGAAGTGTGTAGCGCCATATCCACGGTAAGTATTGAACACTGCCATGTCAAGCAGATCCAAGAGCGGGAGAAGGACCTCTGCCGAATATTCCTGTCGTGCTTTGTCGTGGTGGGGTCCGACCGCTGTGCTCTCTACAGGTCGCCAAAGTTCCGATCCTTGTAACCTCGTGGGCCCAAAACCCGAGTTGAGGTCGGTACAAATGATTGGGAAAACTCGATGCACGCTCCAGAAAGGCAATGGCCGTAACCATTTCACTAAACAGTCACATGCCTGATAATACGCCTTGAAATGACCAGCCTTCGCGGGAACTGGTGGGAAGTAAATTGAAACCACAGCCACGTCATAATACTTACATCTTGCACGCAGAGCAACACCTCGGCCAGGAATTGGGCACACAAATGTTTGTACCACGGTGCTGCGCTTGATGTGCGGCCCAAGGAATATAGAACAGCCACAAGACTTATTGCTATGCGGAGATCTGAACCAGCCATCGTCCACGCACCATCTAGTGCCCACCCTGCGCCATGTAGCCACGCCGGCAGGTCCGTAACGCTGCACGCGTGTTGAATTGAGACACGTAAAACCAGTGTTCTGCGATAGGTCGGCGATGTCCTGCAATCTGTCAGAGGTACTGGCGTACATGGGATTGAATTGCAGGATACTCAACGTGTGCTTGACCCTCTTCAGCGCCGTAGTCATTGTGCGGATGGCCGGGGCTGCACTTGTCCCTGTGGGCCCTCAACTCATGCAAGTGAAAGACCAAGAGAGACACGCTGCCTCGACTGAACGAGCGCCGAAGAGGTAGCAGTGTGGGCTAAATTAATGTACGGTAAGGTGGGTGTGGTCAGCCCTGCAGAGCCGACGCTTAGGAGGAGGAGGAGGAGGAGGAGGAGGAGGAGGAGGAGGATGGGGAGGGGGATGCAGGATGCAGTGGGAGGAGCGGGGCGGGGGGGAGGACGGGGACGACTGGGACCAGAGTAAATCCAGGTGCGTCAACTATGCTGCGAAGCACCATCTCCTGCCAACCCCACGCGTCTTCAATCCCAACGAGCATTTCTCTTCACTCCTGCGGCAAACGCCCACGTATGTGAAAAGGATCCGCCCTCAATCCTTCTAGTGGTAAGGTCTGCCTCCCCCCGCATGACATATCGCACATGTCCACCGAACTTCCCGTTTAAAGCAGTCGCCACCGTTCGTCCATGTGGCTGTTGCGCAAGCATCAACTCTGGACGACAACTTTGGGCGTCTCACAAATAACTCACGTAAAACATAATCACCCTGCGTACGAGTAGCCGCTGCGGGATGATTTTCTGCGAAACAACCATAATGCACCCGACTGCGAATACCAACCTTTGAAATGCGGATTCGCCCTCCATCCGTGCAACTCTTGAAAACGTGTAGCACGGGTGGCGCGACGCGGAAGTGAGCAACAATTGGAACACCATTCGCCCTCCGACCGAGTAGCTCAGCTGCGGCACACCTGCCAAGCGGATGTGCGAGGCTCTGTGCCGGGAGCCACGCTGTGGAAACCGTTTGCCCTCTCATCGGTGCAGCTCTTGGCAATATTATCAGGCCGATGTCTGCTGCGCTGAAGCAGTAGCTACATTGACGGACACTTCAACTTGGAGATCATAGCTACATGGTGGGAGAATCACGCCTGGAACGCTGGGCGGGGGGCTATACCAACACGCCTCGTGGTGCGACAGGGGGTAGCTGTAGACTATGCAGGCGACGGGCGGAGTGGATGAGGTACAGAGAGGAGGACGAGGACGAGGTGATCCGTCAGAAGAAGGAGACGGCCCAGGAGCAAGACCAGGGACAAGGACCATGGGGAGTTGGAAGGAGAAGAAGAAGGGGAAGCTGAGGACGGGGCGCAGGAGGGGGGGAACAGGGCATATATGGGGATGAGGACAAGTATCGGTGTCGGTATGATGCGGCTCGTTGCCGGGATCGTGGGATCGAGGATGAAAGGTCAGGACGGTCGGCGCTGCCGCCGCCCCACCAGCGGCCTCAGAGGAACAACACCTTGACCATAGCCTCTGGCAGCCTGACAAGGAAAAGGAGGAGGAGGAGGAGGCACGGGAGGGGTGCCAAGGCGGCTATGGGGCAGGGGGAGCAGGAGCAAAAGGAGCAGCGGGAGCAGGGGGGCAGGTACAGGGCTGGAGGAAAGGCAGAGAGGACGCGGAGCTGGACGAGGTCGCGTAAGCGAAGTCAAGGCTTCGGTCCATCAGAGCCGTGGTCAGGACAGGAAGATGCGAAGAAAGGGAAGAGGACGCCACCGCAAGCTGGCGCGCACACGGGGGCCCCGCCTCCGAGGGCCTCCTCTGGAGGTCCCCGAGGAGGCGGCCCGAGAGAGCCGTGGCGCACCGCGCAGCGTAATTACTCGCGCTCCCGGAAGGGGGCTCCACTGACGAGCACCGTGGCCACCTACCTGGCAACCCCGACCCGACTCGTCACCATGCGGGCAGTGCTGCAGTGTCGCAGTGTTGCGATGACCGAGAAATGCCCGAACGCAGCAACTGCCGGCGGATGCCCAAAGCGCCCGTCAGTGAGCACCCATCGCGGCACCGGCCGAGTGCACGGCGCAGCGGGCTCGCGCCGCCCGCCGACGATCAGAGGCCCGCGCCCTTCTTGCCGAACGCGCCGGCGGCGGACTTCTTCTTCTTCTTGGGGGCCCACGCCGCCGCGCGGCCCTTGGCGGCCGGCGCGACTGCGGCGGCCGCCGGGGCGGCGCCGCCCGCGTCGGCGGCCTCCTCGGGGGATGGTTGTGGACGACGCCGAGGCCACCACCGAGGCCAGCGGCGAGGCCGACGACTCCAGCGGCCACGGCGTCAAGGGCGGCGGCAGCGACGACGCCGAGGAGGATGGCGAAGACGCCGACGACGACGACGCCCACGACGACGACGGCGAGGACGACGGCGAGGACGCCGCCCACGACAGCGAGGCCGAGGCCGGCGACAAATGGCGAGGCCAACGAGACCACCGACGCTGTCGACCGAGGCCAAGTGGTCGTGCTGGGCACGCGCTGGCGTGCTGCCAGAGGGCCGCTCCGAGCTCGCCCGGAACGCGGCCTCGGCGAGGCGAGGCCTCCCGAGCGGGCCTCGACCTCTCCGGGGGGGTCGGGCCCGGGGGCTCGGGGGGAGGCCAGTCGAGACACGAAAGCTGGGCGAGGGCTGCCAACACCGTGGCTGCTAAAACGGCCCTCCCGGAAGGAGGAAACAACTTCCCCGAAGGAGGCGCGGCACGCGAAACGATCAACGGGCTTCTTCCCGCAAGGACGAAGCCAACTTCCCGGAGGTCGATCTTAGCAGCCGTGGATTTAGCAGCCCCTGCCCGGCTTCCGAGAGACACCGGCTGGCCCTCCCCGACGCTGGTTCGTCCTTTCTGGGGGTCCTCCTGCGCCTCGTCGCTCGTGGCCTGGTCCGCCTCGAGAAGCGGACCAAGAGCCTGTTTTTTTAGACTCTGGCAAGTTTGCTTGCATGGACGGGGGGGGGGGCTGAGCCTGAAGCAAGCCCGGGGGGGGGGGCGGGGCGCGGAAATCACGCAAGTCGAACGGGACTTGCACGCCAGTATTCGCTTGAAGAGGGGCGAGGAGGAGGGGGGGGGGGGGGGGCGAACGCCATGCAAGTAAACTTGCCTGAATCCAAAAAAAAACAGGCTCCAAGACGAATCCCAGGAGGTGTCCGGGGGCCGAGCGTGAGCGGATCTGGGCCAGGATGGGGGCGCCGCCGTTGTCTCCCGCTGGTCCCTCAATTCTGAGTCGCGCCTGCTCCGCCTCCTCCTCCTCCTCCTCCCAGCCCTCCTCCCAGCCCTCCTCCCAGCCCTCCTCCCAGCCCTCCTCCCAGCCCTCCTCCTCCTCCTCCTCCTCCTCCTCCTCCTCCTCCTCCTCCTCCTCCTCCTCCTCCTCCTCCCCCTCCTCCTCCCAAAGGTTGGCACACGTGCCGAACCTGCCTTCTCCTGCCCAAAGGTTGGCACACGTGCCAACAATAAGAAGATGTCCCAAACCAGTTGCGGCCGATCTTGGACAAGGGATTTGTTGTCCCCGATACGTCCGCGGCGACAGCGACAGGGAGTAATGCTCAAAATGGACACGCGCTGCTGTCGGCTTTCGTCCACATTCTGTGACCATCTCGATCGTATCGAAAAGCTCCTGGGTACATCGCTTTTGTTCCCATTCCTGGTCCCGGCGTGTGTTCGGACTTCGCGAGTTTTGCGGATCTGGGGCCGCCCAAACAAAGCGTCCTGACCCTTAGGATCCTTCATGGGAAATCGAGAGCTTCAGGAGCTGGGGATCGAAAAGGGAAGTGAGGAGGTCCGGGAACCTTCACGCCCTCCTCACCGCTGCTACTCCCGCCTCACTCCCTCCATACCACGTGATATGTGTCCTACCCTCTTTGTCGTCCTCTCCTCCTCCTCCTCCTCCTCCTTCACCTCCTCACCCTCCTCTTCCTCCTCGTCCTCCCCCGTGTTCTGCTCCTGGTCCCGCTCGCATTCCTCGTCGTCGTTTTCCTGCTCGAGCTAGTCGTACTCCTATTCCGCCTCCTTGTCCTTGTCCTCCTCCTCCTCCTCCTCCTCGCCCCCTCCCTCCTCCCACACTGCTTCATCCTGCCGGCCTCATTCTCCGAGCAGCGCTTCAGTGCTTGCACTGAGGGGTTCTTCTCGCCATCGCTCGGACGTCCATTCCCTGTGTTTTTTTCGGTTTCGTGCGTGTTTGTTTCGCCAAATGATCAAGGATGCTCCTCGATGGTCCTCGCCGAAGGAAAAATGCACACGTCCGAGCGATACCAAGTCTTCCTTGTCCACCAGGGAACTGGGCCTGCGGGCCGCTCTGGCAGCCATGTGGCCGCCGTCGCCGCCTCGTCGCCGCCCGTCGCCTCGTCGCCGCCCGCTTTGCCGTACTTTGCATTGCTTGTTGCATTGCTGCGAATCGCTTGTGGCGTTACTGCGCATTGCTTTTGGTACTGCTGCGCATTGTTTTTGGCATTGCTTTGCATTTATGTGCATTGCTTGACATGTGTGCGAATTGCCTTACATTGCTTCGCAATGCTTGGATTGTTTTGCATTGGTTTACGTTTGTCTGCACCACGTAGGCTGCAAGAGAACACTGCTTGGGGCTCACGCTGGCTAACATTATCCTCACTCTGATCCCCTCCGCTCCTCCCTCTCGCCCTCCTCCTATCCCTCTTCCTTCCCCCACTGCTGCCCAGTGCCCCTCCCCACCACCGCGCGCCAGGCTGCGCGCGTACAGGATGGGGGGGGGGGGGGAAGAGGAGGGAGGAGCGAGGGGGAGGGAGGAGGGCCAGGAGGAGGGAGGGGGGGGGGGGAGGGGGGAGGGAGGAGGAGGGAGGGGGAGGGGGAGGGCGAGGGAGGAGGAGGGGGAGGGGGGAGGGAGGAGGGGGGGGGGAGGAGGAGGGAGGAGGGGGGGAAAGGGGGGAGGGGGGGAAAGAGGAGGGAGGAGGCGACGACGGCAACGGCGGCAGCGGAAGCGGCGGCGGGGCCCCCGCGAGCAGCCTCCCGGGGCGCGCCCTGGACCTCCGAGCTGCGCCCCGCCGCGGCGACCCGCACCGCCCACGGCCCCCCCCAGAGCGGCAGCGGCGGCGAGGGCGGCGGCGGCGCGGGTCCTTGGCGCGCTTCGCGCCGCGGGGGGCGGCGTCGGCGCTGCCGTGCCCGTTGGCCGCCGCGTCGGCGGCGCCGCCGCTGCCTGCGCCGTGGGCGGCGCCCACGGGGAAGGGAGGGAGGGGGGGGGGGCGGAGCGGAGCGGGGGCCAGTCACCCGGGGGACCTCGACAGACTGCCCCCCTGGGCCTGGCTGGGCCCAGCACAGGAAGGGACCGGCCAGGATCGGTGGGGCGGTCCAGAGAAACACCCCCGACATCGTCCGTCTCACGGGGCGGCTCCACGGCGACAGCGCGATTCGCGGTGCGCGCGGGCGAAGCCAGAAATGCATCATACATGGAAGCACCGCGTAACGAACGCACGCAGAAACCCGCGATACCCGACGACGTTCCCGAAGTCGCGGGAAACGCTTTCGTTGCAACGGTGTCACGAAAACGTGCTCAACTGCACGGCCGGTCCCTGGAAGCCTGTGCTGCGCGACGACGGGGAGGGAGACAAAACAACGACCGCGCGGGCGAGAGGCCAGAGCCAGCGGGACGACAACGGCGGGCGGGCAAGCGGGAAGGGACACAGGGAAAACAGCAAGCTGGGGACAGGGGAGGAGAGAGCGCAAGAGAACGAGGAAGACGAGGAAAGGGAAGGAAAAGGAAACACCCGCAAGCACATGGTCCTGGGGGCGGGGGGGGAGGGATGCCCGCGATGAAACTGTGGATGCGACGGCGGCGACAACGACCAGGCGGCGGATGGAGTGCTGAAGCGCGCGGTGCTTGTCGGGGCCGCTTGGGGTCGATCAGGCAGGAGCCAGCGGTGGTCGTCGGGGTGGGTGGGGTTCTCGGGAAGCCGGGGCGCGCCGCATGAATCGTTCGGTATGCCCACCGCCCCGCCGGAGCACGCCCGCCCCCCACCCGTGGGAGAGGGGCCTGCCGCGCTGGCGGTTTGGTCGGCAAGGATCTCTTCGGATGTGCCTCGCGCACTGCCAGAAACTGGCCAACATTCTCCCCGGGGGGGGAGCTTGCGCTGCCCAGCAAGGCTTCGGAAGGGGAGGGGGGCGAGGGCGGGCGAGGGGCGTCGGGAAGCGCCGATGCGGCCGCGGCCCAGGTGGCCGCTGCCGCCCCGCCCCGCCCAAGGCAGCACTCGGAGGCGCAGCGGCGCTGCAGCGCAGCCGCGCGCCCTCCAACACCGCAAGGGTAACGTCGGCCCGCTGGTCCGCCATCAGAGCGGTGACTTTCCCCGTGACGTCAGCAACCCACCCAGCCAGGACCCCAAAAATCCTGAGCGCCTCGCCGCTCCACCAGCCGCCGTGGACTTCCACCGCCACTGGGAGGAAGGTGGAAGTTCTGTTCCGTTGACAGCTGCGCGGTGTCCTGGCGCTGCCGATTGAAACTCTCGTGCAGTTTCGTCGGCCTGGTAGACGAAGCGGCTGACGCGGCGAGGATGTCAACGCACATCTTGGACGTCGACCGCAGAGTCCCAAAGAGCCGCCGCACCGCCACACTGTCGGGGTAGGTAGACGTCGACGGGGCGGCACGGGCTGTCTGTCCATCGGGGGCCCGCCCTGTACGCCCCCGAGACGGTCTCCAGGGCGCGGGGGTAGCAGCCCCGGTCGCTCCAACTCCGCCATGGAGCGGCTGGCGGCCAAGGAACCTGAGAAGCAACAGCCTCTAAGGGCACACCACCTCACCACGGGCTGGGCAGACGCATTCCTCCAACAAACACTGGACCCCCAGCCGCCACTGCAAGCCCAGTTGCGTGCGGCTGTGCGGGGAGGCGGTGCCAGTGGCCTCGCAAGGCGGGGCGGGGGACCACGTGGCGGCGCCCAGCGCCTGCACCCGCGAAGCATGCGTGGTTCCCAATGTGGCTTGGGGATAAAGACGCGAAAGCAGCAAACAAATATGAAAACAAGCACCCGTCAGGTGCAGCGCCGCCACCTGCGCCAGACAGGCCCTCTGGTCGCTGTGCTGCCCGCGGTCGCGGGCCACCCGAGCGGCGTCCCGCACAACGGCGTCGTGGGCCTGCACGGCGGCCGCGAGGCTGCCCTCGTCGCGTCGGCGGCGTTGGGAGAACCACGGCGAGCAGCCGACAGAGGTCGGTGATCTTCGCTGCGGCAGCGATGTAGGCGGCGACGCGTTTCGCCTCGGAGCGCCAGCGGAGCCCTGCCGTGTTCAGCTTGAGCTGGGTCTGCCGCCACGACGAGTCGGTGGGCGAGCAAGCCGCTCAGTTGCTCCAGCCAGGCCCGAACGGCGTCGTCGATGGCCGGCATATGGAAGCGGTGTGCGCGGGGGGCGGCACCACCCGCGCCGAGTAGCCTAGAGCGCAGCCCTCGGCCTCCTTCGCACCTGCCTGCTCCTGCTCCTGCTCCATGCGCCCCCCCCCTCTCCATACAGTGGAGGCCGGTCCACAAGAAACCTTCCACTTGAGACTCAACCCTGCGACCCCAGGACATCAACCGACTTCTGGCGCAGGGGTGTCGCGCTGTCCGTCGCAAAACCATCGAAACCCAAGAAAACCAGGACACCCTGGAGGCAAGCAGGGTGCTTCTTGGTATGGGTTATGTTGCTCCCATCAGAATTAAGGACGACATCCCAGAAATTCGCCGGCCCAACGGGCCAGAGGCGTGCTAAGATCTCCGGTAACTGGTTAACAATTGTATTGTACTAGTTCGCGCGCGCGGGGCGGCCCCTGGGGGTCCCCCGGCGAAAAGTACCCCGCCCGCCGCCTGGCAAGGTCCCGCCCGGTTCAACTCAGAGATGGTTTTCCTTCTGGGTGCGGCCTCTCAGGCCGCCCTGAGCGCGCCAAGAGTGCCCCAAGAGGCCCCCAAGACTGCCCAAGAGGCCCCCGAGACGCCCAAAGAGCGCTCGAAGACGCCGAAGATGACCCCAAGACGGCCCAAAAGGCCCCCAAGACAGCCCAAGAGGCCTCCAAGACGCCCCAAGAGCCTTCCAAGAGGCCTCCGAAGAGAGCCCCAAGAGGCCAAAATCGTTGATTTTCATTGTTTTTTCGATGTTTTTTGTGTTCTGGCTTTTTCGGCTTCCGGACGCTCCAAGACGGCCCAAGAGGCCCCCAAGACCGCTCCAAGACGGCCCACGAGGCTCCCAAGACGGCCCCGGAACGGCCCAGGAGGGCCCCCAAGACGGCCCAAGTGCCGCCCAAGACGGACCAAGAGGCCCCAAGACGGGCCCAAGAGGGGCTCAAGAGGGGAACCGAGAACTGAAAAATCGAGCCCTCCGCCCCAGAAGGCGCCCAGGAGGCCCCAAAAAGGCCCCAAGAGGCCCCCAAGAGGCCCCCAAGACGCCCCAAGAGGCGCCCAAGAGGCCCAAAAGAGGCCCCAAGAGGCCCCAAAACGGCCCCCAAAACTCGGCTAGCCCACAACGGTGCGACAATATGGGCCGGCGGAATGAGCGAAGCGATTAAATAATTTCGAGCACCTGGAAAAGTGTCGAAAGAGTGCCGACACAGTGTCGAACAAATTTCGGACGAGTGTCTCCCAGGGCCCGACACGTGAAACCCCTGAGTTTCGGTACTTTTTTGGTGCTCGAAACACTTTCTAGTGATCAAAGCTAAAACAAGTTGGAGCATCACAAGGCATGGGCTTCCTCTGCACAGCCGAGTTTGAATGGAGAGGATACGCTAGAGGACACGGGAGCTTCCTAAGGGCCACACCGCCTCAGGCATGCACAGACGACACGGGGCGCGAAACGCAGGACACAAGGGCACCCTTGCCCTGGATGGGTCGACCTGCTCACCAAACTCGACTGCATCCTTCCTCTCCTCCTCGTCGTCCTCCTCCCGCCCCACAGCGACCATCGAGGACCTGAGGCCGCGACGACGACGACGACAACGACGGACGACGGACGACCAGCGGAGACGACGACGACGACGACGACGACGACGACGACGACGACGACGACGACGACGACGACGACGACGACGACGACGACGACGACGACGACGACGACGACGACGGACGACGGACGACGGACGACGGACGACGGCGGCGGACGGCGGCGATGACACACGGACGGACGACGACCGACGGACGGCCTGCTTCCGACGGCGGACGGCGGACGGCGGAAGGCGGCGAGGAGGAGGAGGAGGAGGAGGAGGAGGAGGAGGAGGAGGAGGAGGAGGAGGAGGAGGAGGAGGAGGAGGGAGGAGGAGGAGGGAGGAGGAGGAGGAGGAGGAGGAGGAGGAGGAGGAGGAGGAGGAGGAGGAGGGAGGAGGAGGAGGAGGAGGAGGAGGAGGAAGGAGGAGGAGGAGGAGGAGGAGGAGGAGGAGGAGGAGGAGGCGGCGCCGCAGCCGCCGGCGGCCTCGGCAGCCAGCGAGGCCTCGGCCCGCGACGGCTGCCCCACGGCGGCGCCCCCGACGGGCGGCCAGTCCATGCCGCCGGCCAGGCTCAGGGGCGCCAGGTTCCCTCCGGGAGGGGGGCGCGCCGCGCCCCCCCCCCCGAGGGGAGGCGGCCCTCGGGCTCCTCGACACCTCGATCCTCTCCTCCTCCTCCTCCTCCTCCTCCTCCTCCCTCGACCTCCCTCCTCCTCCCTCCTCCTCCCTCCCCTCGAGCTCGATCCTCCTCCTCCCCTCGAGCCCCTCCTCCTCCTCCTCCTCCTCCTCCTCCTCCTCCTCCTCCTCCTCCCCTCGAGCCCTCGATCCTTGCATCCCGGATCCTGGGGCCATCGGTGCTCCTCGACAATCCGCCGGCCCCCTTGTGGGGCCACAAGGCTGTAGGCCGAAGCTTCGCAGTTTCCTGTACCAGTTGCAGCTTCCAGTTTCCACTGTTACAGTTATGCTTCTTGCTGCTCACTGTTCCTTGTTACAATTATGTTTCTTGCTGCTTACTGCTCCTTGTTGATGATGGACCGCGCGAGGGGGGGAGGCCCAAAACGGGAATCTGTTTATACGCCCTGAGCGTGTTATCTGAATTGCTGGGGTGGGTAAAAAATCACACCCCTCACGCAGATCGGCTGGGTCAGGGTCCAATAACACAAGGGATTTGCCACATTTCTGAAATTCGGTGGCACCCCTTACGCAGATCGGCAGGGTCAGGGTCCGAAAACATATGGGATTTGCCACATTTCTGAACTTCGGCGCCCCCGTGACGCAGATCCGTAGGGTCAGGGTCGAAAAACAAACAGGTCCTGACACTGCTTCACGGCGGCGCCCAGACCTCATGATTTAGCTTTTGCATCTCCCATTATCCGAGGAGGGGGGCCGGCAGCCTTTCGATAACCGATCGCCTCCGCGGTGAACAGAAAGAAGCTGCATTGGCGGGGTCTCGCGCCAGAGACACAACCGCCTCGCGCGCACTTATCTGGTCGATTGCCTAAGGATGTGCGCGCAAGGTGGAGCGACCAGCTCTTGAAACTAAAGAAATGTATCAAATTCACTGGGCTGACCGCAGGCGGACGTCACCTGCAAGCCAGAATTGCAGCCTGACGCGCAATCGCGCGAACGGCACACATACTGAGGCGCCGACCAATTCCCTTCCTGAACATTCGAACGCCAACAGTGAAACTCCGCCACCCTGTCGCAGGCACGTTGGAGCCATGTGAGAGCGCTTGCTGGCTTTCGGGAAATGTTTCTGCTGTTCTCTGCGAGCGACGCCCCCCTGCCGCGCGCATCCGCACAACATCGCGCCCTCTACACTTTGCTCCACGGCTCCACGGTGTCCCGTGGTGCCCCTCCCGGTTGGCCTGCGGTGGCCTGGGGGTGTCCCGCGGTGTCCCACGGTGTCCCGTCGTGTCTGGTGCTATGCCATGCTGCGCTGTGCTGTGCTATGCAATGCTGTACTACGCTTTGTTATCAATGCGATGCTAAGCTATGCGGTGTGATGCGATGCGATACCATGCTGTGCGATGCGATGCGATGCTATTATATGCGATGCGATGCAATGCCATGCTATGCTATGCGATACGATGCTATGCTATGCTACGCGATGCTCGTCTATGCTGTGTAGTGCGATGCCATGCGATGCTATGCTACGCTCTGCTGTGCGATGCACTGTTATGTTGTAGCTCCAGTTGGCCCCCCTTCCCCCCCCACCACCACACACACAACCTCCTTATCACCCGAAGGGTGGTCGTACATGTAGGTATGCACTGGCAGGATCTCGCGGCCAGAGACGCAACCGCCTCGCGCACACTTGCCTGGAGCGGGGAGGGATGGGGAGGAATGGGAACGATCTGGGAGGAGCGGGAAGGGGTGCGGAGTGAGGTGTCTTGTGGGTCTCTCGGACTGTCTCAGAGCGCTCTGGGATCCACAGGCGCCTACGGAGGTCGTCTTGGAGGGCTCTGTGGGATATCTTGGGGCGATCCTGGGAGCTCCTTGGGCCGTCTTGGAGGCCTTGTTGGGATGTCTTGCGGCGCTCTTGGGGTTCTCTGAGGCCGTCGTGGACGCTATTGATACATAAAAAACGCAGACTTTGACAGTCGGTACCGTGGCCGAGTAGGCGCTTCCCCGAGGAATTAGAGCGATGTGTGTTCCTTGCGGACCTCCTAAGTGTCCTCTTGGAGCCCTCTTCAAGAGCTTGGGGGGCCTCTCGGGCCGTCTTGAAGCCATATTGGGCGTCTTGGCGCACTCTGAGACCGTCTCGGAAGCCTCCTGGACCGTCTGGGGAGCGCCTTCGGGCCCTCCGAAAGCCCCCCGAAGGACCCCCGAGGGACACAGTGGGCACCGCGGGGGGAGGGGGGAGTTTTGGAACAGTGGGCAGCCTCGGGCCCCAGGGGCCTGGTCGCGGGGTCCGCATGGTGATGGACAACTCTGATGAGCGCTTGCGCGCTGCAGTCAGAACCACCTTGAGCCAAAATGGCTACGGATGCTCGTGGGGCGTCTTTTGGGGCTCCTGTGGGGACTCGTGGAGCTTACAGAGAGCCTCTAGGGGGCTTCTTGGGCTCTCTTGGGGGCCTCTTGGGGCCTCCTGGAGGCCTACTGGGGCAGAAGGCTCCAATTGTCTGTTCGTGTTCCCCCTCTTGGGCCCCTCTTGGGGCGATCTTGGGCGCCTCTGGGGCCGCCTTGGGGCACTCTTTGGGCCGTCTTGGGGCTCTCTATTGCGCCGTGGTGGCGTCCTCTTTGGGTGCCTCTTGGGCCGTCTTGAGCTGGTTGTCTTGGGCCGTGGGAAGCACGCGACAGCGAGAACACGAACCTTCAAGAACCACTGAGGAAACCTACTTGTTTCGCCTCCTGAATGCCTTGAAGGCATCTTGGCCATCTTGAACCCTCTTGGGCTGTCGTCAAAGCCATGTTGGACCAATTTTGGAACGCTCTTGTGCGGTCTTGGGCTCTCTTGGAGCGCTCTTGGGCCATCAGCGCGCCCTCTTGGACGTCTCTCGGCCCCCTTGGACGTTTTTTGGCGCCTCCCGCCGGGCCCGAAACGGCCAGAAGACAAGTAAGTACACTTCGGGTGGCCCGGGACCCCCTACCCATTTTTTGGTGTATATATGTATATATAACACATAGGAATCGAAGAGACCTGTCCGAAACTTCCGAGATGTCTCTTGGGAGCCTTGTGGGGCCTCTACTTGGGGGCTGTGGGGGCTTTTCGGGGGCCTGTTGGGCGCCTCGTGGCAGCTTTTTGGAAGCCTCGCGGTGCCTCGTGGGTCCTGATGGGGCCTCTTGGAAACTCTTGGGGGCCACGTGGGGCCTGTAAGGGTCTCTTGGCGGCATCTGGGGAACTTTTTCGGAGCTTCTTGAGAGCCTCTTGGAGGCCTCTGGGGATCCTCTGGGGGGAACCGTGCAGTGGAAGTTAATCCACAGGAAGTCCACTGCAAGAACACATCCCTGAAATCCACTGAGGTTTCTTGGTCCAGGAGTGGGTTTCTTGCACTTCGGCTGCTAACGAAGACCCCCTGGCCACGGAGCGCGGCTGCATATGGCAGATGGATCCGTATGTAGAACCCCTTCTTCCCGATTCTCCATGGCACCCCCCTCCCCGACACACACCCCCGGCCGACTCCGTCTGCTTCATGGAGCCTTGTTCCGTAAGCACTTTATACAAATTCTAGCGCCACACACACTGCAGAAATCCGTCCGGCTCCCCCGTCCACAATCCGCCACCCACCCACCCCTCACCCGCAACCACGGCCGGCCCCGCATGCTTCCTGAAAACTTGTGCCGTGGCCAAATGTGCAAATTTTCAAGCCGCCCACTCTGCGCAAAACCCACTTTGGTTTATAACAGTCTGAAGCTGCTACTGCCCCCCCGCCCATCCACTCGCATTAGATCACCTTACGCGCCAAGGTGTTCTCGAACAAACTCATGACAAACTCCCTATCCCCGCTCTCCGTGAACACCTTGCTTGAAAAAGCTAAGCGGAACCCCTGAACTGTGTCGCCTTCCTCTGCATGGACGTCGTCGCACAACTTGTTAACGGACTGCAAGGTGTTGGCGTTGATGACGTTCTGGAAGCTCAGAGACAAAGAAAGCTCAAAATAGCACCAACCACGGTTGATGTACTGCGGCGAGCCTTCATCCAGACACTCGTTCATGGGCAAGACTATCACAGGCGTGCTGCTCACGCTGTACATCACCTCGAACGACCCGAGAGACTTCCTGAACAAGGTGTCCTCTTCGAGAGTGCGAACGGCTGCGTGTGTGCCTGGCAAGGGCCAGCTACCTTGGCTATCCAACAATCGAGACGGCATCGTTGTCGCAGGCGCTCAGCTTGTCTAGCTGTTCAACAAGTGTGCGCAGTTTCACGCCAGCGGGGTCTGGATGCCACTTGGAGAGCCAAGGATGTGAACACACGAATCGGCCCTGCCGATCGGTCCTAGAACGTGGAAAACCAACACTGCCAACGATTGTCTCGGAAGCCGGGACGTCCTGACAGCGCATTAGCAACCGTCCACTTTGGGCAAGCTGGCGCAAGAAGCCGCGCCGCACCCATTTGATCTGCGCATCATCGAGGTACTTCAAGAAACCTTCGTAGAACGATTGCAGGTGGTCGTCGTCGTAAATGTTAATTGCCGAAAACGCTTCGTGCTCCAAGCGCCGGAGCCCAGGTGGCCCGACGAGACCTGAGAAGACCACCACGCTGATGCAATCGAGCGTGGTGTCGGCGAAAAAGGCCGCCACCCAGCCGGGGCTCGGACCCCACGCCCAGACCGCGTAAAAGCTTACGCCGAAGCTAGTGAACGAGCCCATGAAAACAACTGCTGTTAAAGCGACCCACTTTGCTGCATCCTTCTTGGCCTTGTTGGAAGAGCGAAGCCCGCGCGCGGCGCGCAACGCCAGCAAACCGAAAGTGATGCCGAAAGCCATGCCGCCCGTGACCATGGTTCCGTACCAAGCGGCCATCAAGATGAATTCGCTCTGCGCTGGCGATAAAGAGAGCGTCTCGGGCATGAAGAGTATGAGTGGGACGGCAGGGCAAAGCGCGGTGTTGCAGATCGCGTAGACTTGGATAAGCTTCGCCAGCCGCTTACTCCCGAGTACCCTGAACTTATGCTCCACGAGAAACCAAGACACGACTTTGCCGAACCCGTACCCAGTACCGTGGACAGTGTGTGCGACTTGGGCGGGGTAGCCAGGGTGGCACAAGAAGAGCCACGGGAAAAACGGAGCTGTTGCCGCCACTAGGGCGCTTGTGATTCCATATCGCCAAGTCCACTTGTGGAGGGGCAGCTCGAAATTGAAGCGGCGCGAATTGGCCAAGAACCAAGCCACCAACAAACCAACAGGCGAGTAGGAAGCAACCTCCATCAACCAATAAACAAGCTCTTCCATGGAGTCCTGGTCGTTGACGCAAGTGTAAGCTCCGGCAGCGCCGGCTATGACGCAGAGCACATAAGCTGCAACTCGGAGAAACAGGACGCCGCTGTAGCGCGATTGGGCGTTGATGTCACTTGATGTCGTTGGTGCCATTGCCTCGCACGTGCTGGTTGATGCTGGCAAAACTTGTAGCTCCAGAGACTGCCATCGCGACTTGAGCCAACAGCGGCTTGAGGCAATTTGGGGTCGTCTTAGGTGTTAGGCCTCCCGGGGGCCACTTGGAGGCGTTTTGGAAACCGGAGAAACCCATCGGAAGCGACACGCCGCGAAAGCACAACTCATGGATCCCCCCTGGTTTCTGAAGGTTCCTGACCTCTCTGGCGCACCCACGATCGGTCTCATGGGGCCCTGTAGGGCTGTCTTGAGCCTGAGCTCCCGAGGCGTCCGGAAGCCTTCTTGAGCAGTGCGAGACCCCAAGGAGGCCGTAGCGGGGCTGACTCGGGGCTGCCTGAGGCCGCCTGGATGACTGTCTGATGTCGGCTACACGCAAGAGTGACCCTGGGTAAGAGTGACCCTTGGTGCGCGGCTTTTTGGGGGCCGCGGGGAGACCAAACCTGGGCGCGCAAGCCGCTGCTACCGCTTCGTTTTCAGCCATCTGAAGGCCCACCTGTGCCCGCACCAGAGGTCACTCCGGCGAAAGGTCACTCTTTTGAGCAGGGACCGACCGTCCCGGCATTCCTATAATCCTACTACGAAATGTTCTTAGAACCCAGGAATGTTCTAAGAACAAAGGCAAGGTTCTTAGAACATAAACCCGATGTGTGAAAACAAGACAGACCCCGCCAGGAATGTTCTACGAACATCTCGTGGAAACCACAAACCCCCGTACGGCAGGTTCGTGTCGTGCCGACCCCAGCGTTGGTTTTTGACACCGCAGGGATCGTTCAACCTTGAACGATCGGCCGCTGCCGCAACGTCCGATCGTTCAACGTCGATCGATTCTGGGTCGCCAGCGGCGTTCAACCTTGAACGCCCGCGCTGGGGTCGCCGCTGGTCGACACGACGCAAACCTACCGTATGCAGGGCCCCATTCCCCCCACGACCCATGAAGCCTCTGCGTGCAGCGCCGCCGGATTTTCCAGGGCTGTTAGCCGCCACCCGCCGTTCCGCCCGCCCCCACGCCTGCCCTGCCGAGGAGAAACCTACAGCCTCGGGGGCCCGCGCGGACTTCTTGCATCCGCGCTGGGCTCTCCCTGGTATGGTTCAGGGCCTCCAAATACCACCGCAAGCTGGGACACAAAGTGGACATGCCTGCCCTGAAAGCGAGGTGTGGGTGGTGAAGAAATAGGCGGAGGAACGAGGAAGAAGAGGGCGGAGGAAGGAGGAACGGGACCATCCAGATCTCCTGAGAAAACCGCATCTGGCAACTCCGCGCAGAAAACTTCGAGAGCCGTACCACATTCCGCGTACACACCTGCGATGCTCGTGCAGACATCCCAGTTTTCGGCAACGCAGTGCAAGGAGACCGCTCGGACAGACTAACTAACCAGGTAGGCAGCGCCCTCAGTGGCACTGCTGCTGGCCCTGTTGTGGCCAGAGGCCTCTGGGCACGCGGGGAAATCAATGCAGCCACAGGCGAGCTCGTGCGGTCAGCGCGGCCTGGCAGACGGGGCGGCGCAAGCAATCGCCCCCCCCTCCGGTCCTGAAAGCCGAGCCCCGCCCTCACGCGGACACCGTGCGCCCGCATTTTGGGTGGCCCAAAAGGGGGTCCAGCTGGAAAGGGGGTGGTGCCATAGATTTGGGGCAAATGTATATTGCAATTGTACCGCGCCGGAGAATTGAGTACTGCATTGTATTGCAAGTCGTGTGTACTGCGCGCGAAGATCCAGCAGTCCAGGTGCGCCCCCAGAAGGCACTGCACGCCCCAGAATGTGTTGCAACCCCACACGTCGATTGCACCACATCTGTCGCGCCAACCCGAGGGGAGCCAAGCCCGGCCCCGACCCGCGGGCACCGCGCGCCCACGCGGCGCAGGCGCAAGAGCCGCACGCCGGCCTGCCCTCGGCTGGCCTCGGCCCAGGCCCTGGGCGCCCCGCGGCCGCCCCTTCGCACGCCGGGGCCGGCTGCCCCGACGACTGGCTGTTCCTCGCCGACGAGATGCTGAGGAGGAGGAGGAGGAACAGGAAAAGGAGGAGGAGGAGGAGGAGGAGAAGGATGGGGAGGAGGAGGAGGATGGGGAGGAGGAGGAGGAGGAGGAGGAGGAGGAGGAGGAGGAACAGGAAAAGGAGGAGGAGGAGGAGGAGAAGGAGGAGGAGGAGTGCGCACGTGGCTTCGCTCCGCGGCGCACACGAGGGGACGCACGGAGACACGCCGGTGCTAGACGTTCTCCCTGGAGGCGCGCCGCCGACCCGAACATACACAGTGAACCCATCTCGTAGCAGAGCGTTTCCCGAGCGGCGTGGCCAGAGAGCGCCCGCCGCGACGCAGATGCTATGAGATTTCTCGGTGCGCGCGTCGCCCCTGCGGGGGCGACGCACATATAGTACGAGCAAGTATGCTGGGGTGCCGCCGACATGATGCCCGTCGCGGCCAAGCGCGGCCAAGTAAGTGTCAATGCCCAAGGCGGGCGGACCCAGATTGGCCTCGGTGTCCGGCTGGCCCTTCGCAGCGTCAGACTTCTCGGCCAATCTCTTGCACTGCAATTTGGTGGCCTTACTCGGCCGTGCACTCTGCTTCCGTCCGTGCGGCGCGTGGCAGACATTGCACTTGACACCGCTCGTACAGCGCGCTGGTTGGTGGGACGCCCTAGCTCTGGAGTAGACCCACTGGAAGATCCTCAGGCTACCCCTCGATGTCGAGCGGGTGGGGGATAACCGCTCGTAAAGCCTGTGCTGACCTTGTGGTAGAGATGAAAGGGCCCTGGGACACACACATAAATACACACAAATCAACGGATTCCCCATATTGTTCCTATATTTTCTGGGTTTCTGTCTCCCCCCCACTGCACATACTTTCCCATATTCTCGGGGGAATCGACGATTCATTGTGCCTGTGTGTGTTTTTGTCCCTCCTGACGAGACACGGTTTGCAAATGCCCGTGGCGTGCTTGCGTGCTTCGCGGCACCCCGCGACCACTCCCTCATTCATTCATTCATGCCAGCGGAAACGCGCGTCAATGCCGCGCGGCGGCCCCTTGCCCTTGCCAGCCTGCGTGCGGGTCCAGGCGGGCTCTCCCGTGCAGGAGCGGGAGCTGCCCGGTGGGTTTGCTTGCCACCGCCGCCACCCTGGTAGGAGGAGGTCCTCCTCCCCCTCCTCCTCCCCCTCCTCCTCCCCCTCCTCCTCTCCTCCTCCTCCTCCTCCTCTCCTCCTCCTCCTCCTCCTCCTCCCTCCTCCTCCTCCTCCTCCTCCTCCTCTCCTCCTCCTCCTCCTCCTCCTCCTCCTCCTCCTCTCCTCCTCCTCCTCTCCTCCTCCTCCTCCTCCTCCTCCTCTCCTCCTCCTCTCCTCCTCCTCCTCCTCCTCCTCCTCCTCCTCCTCCCTCCTCCTCCTCCCTCCTCCTCCTCCTCCGCCTCCGCCTCCGCCTCCTCCTCCTCCTCCTCCTCCTCCTCCTCCTTCCCCCCTCCAACTTATGGTGGTGGTGGAAGACAGGCCCATCGCTGCTGCTGCGGCCGTCCCAACGGTGTCCTGCGGTGGCTGCCCTCGTCGGCAGAGCCTCCAGGAGAGCTCCGGCCATCCACGCCGCCACCGAAGGGGGGTGGGGCAGACCATCGCTGCTGGCCGCGAGCGAAGCGTCGTCCTCCAGGAGCGAGGTGCGCCCGCTGGAAGGTCTCTGGAGATCGCTGTCGCCCTGGGAGTGCCTGAGGTGGGGCTCCACGCCCACCAGCTCCAAGAAACTGCTCCTGACGACCAGCATGAGAGACGATCCGCTACGTACTCGTCTCCGCCCCGCTGCCCCCATCGCCTGGCGTCTCTGGGGCCGCCCCAGGAGCGTCCGGATCGGTTGGCATCTCGGGCGTCGCTCTGCATCGGCCGTTGCGAAACGGGGGCGATCGGCTGCTGGCCCCGCGGCTCGCACCCCTGGAGCCAAATCTGGCTACGGAACACACGAGGGTGTCCTAAACGGAAGCGCGCGCGTCCTTATACTGGGCGCGTTGACTGTACAATACGGGTCCGAAATCAAACACCGACTCCGTCCTGGTGTGCCTTCCGGCCAGAACTCCGCGGCGGCGCCAGCCGTGGCGGCCAGGACCCCCCGGAGAGGCCCAGAAACGCTGGCGATCGCACTGGACCTCTCGATCCTCGCAGCCCGACGTCGGCTACACGCAGGAGTGGCCCTGGGTAATAGTGACCTTTGGTGCGCGGCTTTTTGGGGGCGCGGGGGGACCAAACACGAGCGCGCAAGACGCCACTATCGCATCGCGTTCGGCGATCTGGGGACCCCACTTGGCCCGCACCAAAGGTCACTCCGGCGAAAGGTCACACTTACGTCTAGTCGACGACGCCCCTCGCTCCGCCGTGCTGGCCGGCCAGACGAAGAGCGGCCTGCCCGCACGTTCTGCACCTGCACCCAGACGGGGCCGCAGTGGTGGTCGACCGCCTCCTCGCCGCCGTCGGCGCCCGCGCGTGCGTGCCACTGGCCTGACCGGCGGGTGCCCTCCACGGACGAGGGCGGCGTCGTCCTCGTCGCGGCCATCGTCCTCGTCAGGAGGAGGAGGAGGAGGAGGAGGAGGAGGAGGAGGAGGAGGAGGAGGAGGAGGAGGAGGGGGAGGACGCCTTCCCGCGGGAGGGCGTGGGGGGGGGAGGGGGAGGATGGCGAGGAACCAGCGACGGAACGAGCTGTCACTGCCGCAGCGGTCGATCGTCATCCTTGCGGCAGGCGTGCGCGAGCACGGTGGCCATGGCCGTGCAGAAGGGGGCTTGGATACAACCTAGCACAGGCGAGTGCTCACCTCAAAGCGAAGCTCACGAACTCTTCTGCGTACTTTTCCCAATCGGCGGCGGTGACTGCGTGGGTCCACCGACATGGCTGTTTGTAAAGAGGGATGGCGAGGATCTGTTCCAATGAGCTTCCACTCATTGTTTCATGCGCACGTGTTGAGGCAATGCTTCCAACCTTTCGGATGCACGCCTCAGTATGGCAATCGGGCCACGTCTTGGAAATACTTGATGTCCCATATACGATGACGACGTCGTCAGCGTCGGTGGATTCGTCTGTCCCACGCCAGCTTCTCCGTGACTGGCGCCTGGGAATGAGAAAACATCGCCCAAGTAATCATTGCTGCTGTGTGTTTACGTCTGAACTTGATCATTGACGGAATGCTTCCTCTCCCGCGAATCCCACCCCAAGTTCGCGAACCCAACTGGAAACAGCCAGCTGTTTCCATTCACGTGCTTTCTGTAATCCAGCCCTGTGGTAATGGTGGTAATGGTGGTGATGAGCCCCCCCACCCGGCCCCACTGGTTATCCCACATCACCCTCCAACCACAGGAATCGACTTATTCTGGCCAGTACCGCAATTCAAGGGACCTTCGTTGGATACATCCGAAGCCGCATCTTTCGTCTCACTACTGCAGTGCCGATGGGCCTCCACAGGCTCCACTGGTCATCCCACCTCGCCTTGCTCATTCAAATCTCAAGTCCCCTTTTTCCCTATATCCAAAGATGGCGTTATTGTTATTACTTGGACGCCTCCTACTCCTCCTTCTCCTTCCTCTTCTTCCCCATATCCTAAGATGGGGTTCTTGTTATTACTTGGACGCCTCCTACTCCTTCCTCTTCTCTTCCTCCTCCTCCTCCTCATACTTAAGACTTACTCATACACAGACTTACTCATACTCAGACCTGATCATATTAACTTACTCATACTCAGACCTACTCATACTCAGACTTCTTCATGCTGAGACTCACGCATACCAAGACTTATTCAGACTCAAACCTTCTCATTGTCTGACTTACTCAACACACAGCAGAGTGTGAGGATGTCTCAGGCGAGGCGCTGGTTTCAGCACGCCTAAGGGGAACCGCCGGAGGGTATTGTACGGTCCCGTTCGCAAACGGTCGGTGCGTTGCGCTTCCAGGCCCCCTGGCCATCAAAGTGGCCAATCGGCACTGCAATTCCAAGACGAAAGATGCGGCTTCGGATATATCAAACAAATTCCCGTGAAGTGCCGGTTTGGCCAGGATGGTCTATTCCACTACGTGGCGACCGCAAGGCCGTTGAATGAAAGACGAGGAGTGGAAGTGGGATCAGAGGTAAGATATTATTCACTGCGTGGAGCTCCCCATATGTGCATCTATTCGCGTGGACCTGTCCGCCGTGAGCGTCTGGGCGCAAGAGCTTGCGAATATAAGCGGGCTTGAGTTGTGACGGTCAGGTCACGAATCTAACTGCGAATGAATTGGAATGTGAATGAGCCTCAGTAGTACGAGCGCGTCTTTGCGCATGAGCCTGGGGCCTCCTGGGGCCTCCTGAAACCTACTGGGGCCTCCTGGGGCCTCCAGGGGCCTCTTGGGGCCTCCCGGGACCTCCGAGGGAGGATTCGTGCCCCAGGAGAAGCCAAATCTATAGGAACATACGCGCATAAAACATTGCGGATTGGAACCACAGGAGAATGGCAAACTATAGGGACACACGTAAAACACAAAGGACTCGTGCCCCAGGAGAAACGCAATCTATAGGAACATAAGTAACACATTTAGGATTGTGTACACAGGAGATGGACAATATCGGAGGTTCGGGGTGAGATCGCAGTGTAACGGAGTCCCCCCACCGGGAAATCGAGTTTCGAGTTCGTGTTCGTGCCGTGCGTGCGGGCGAGGCGAAGCTGCGTGGGCCAGCGAGAGGAATTCACTCTGCTGTCGCTAGGGGTCCGCCAACACAAATGTTTCCCCCCCCTGGCCTTGTCAGGCGGTAGCCCACGTTGTCCCGTCGGTTGCCCGTCGGTTGCCCGCCGGTAGCCCACGTTGTCCCGTCGGTTGCCCGTCGGTGCACCCATCGTCGACTGGGACGTCGTGGGCTGAGTGCCGCGTCGCGCAGCGGCAAACCGAACAACACAAGTCGCCCAAGCGAAGGAACAAAAAAAAGTCCGCCACGTCATCCACATCATCATCGCCCATCAGCACCACGTTCATCACAGTTGTCGTCATGAGCACCCCCCCTCCCCCACCCCCCCACAACCTCCTTATCACAGTGGTCGTATAGGTATAGAAACATACGTATAACATCAAGGATTCGCGCTCCAGGTGAGGCCCAATCTATAGGAGCATACGTATAACACATGGGATTGGAGCCACTCCTGTTGCCTTCTGAGGTTTCCTGCTCCTGGGGCCTCTCGGGGCCTCCCGTTGCCTTCCGAGGCCTCCTGGCGCTTCCTGTGGCCTCCTGGGGCCTCTTGTGGCTTCCTGAGGCGTCCTGGAGCTTCCTGGGGCCTCCTGGAGCCTCTTGGGACATCCTGTGGCCTCTTGAGTCTTTCTGTGGCCTCCTGATGCCTCCTGGGACCTCATGTGGCCTCCTGGGGCCTGTTGGAGCCTCCTGTGGTATCCTGAGGAGAATCTGTGCCCAGGAGTCTGGCCACCAAAACAAGCAAACCGATCGAGACATCCTCAAAATCTGGCCAACCTGGGGGGTGAAAGTGAGCGCCTCGCTCGAGACGTCCTCCAAATCTGCTCTCCAAGCGAAGGATGTTGGGACAGAAAACAAGCAAACCGCTTGAGACATCCCCACACAACGGCCGCGAACGGGACCGTGCAATAACCTCATGCCCGTGAGAATAAACACTAGGGGATAATAAAGTTCGGGGTTCAGGGAGAGATACTAAAAGTAGCCCAGCAGACCTCAGCATAATCTCGAAGTAAGAGATGATCAAGAGGAGACCAAGCCGAGCACGTTTTGAGACATCCTTGGCGTTTAGTTTTCATAGAAATATCCTCAACAATGGCTTATCTCGCTGGAATGGAGGAAGCTATATATAAAAAAGAAAAATAAAAATAATAACTAATAAAATAAAAGAAATGATAGGAGGAGGACAAGGACGAAGAGAAGAAAGCATCTCGAGTTTCAAATCTATTAGATTTTATTTACAAGCGCTTTATGAAACTTGTTTTTGTAAGTGCTCGTGTAGGGTAGCTCATGTGCCTCAATTTCCATGGATAATCAACCCCAGAGATAAAAAGTTCAGGCGAGCGTGGGGACAGAGAGAAATATAAAAGAAGAAAAATACAGTATAATAATAATAAGAAAGAAGAAGAAGAGGATAATAAGAAGAGGACGAAGAAAGGACAAATCCAAAGTTCCAAATCTATCAGTTTTAATTTACACACGCTTTATGAAAATTGATTTTTTAGTGCTCGTGTAGGGTAGCTCATGTGCTTCATTTTCCATGGATAATCAACCCCAGGGATAAAAAAGTTCAGGCGAACGTGAGGACAAATCGAAATATAAAAGAAGAAGAGGAAAGTATAATAATAAAAAAAAGAGAAGAAGAGAAGAAGAAGAAGAGAAGAAGAACGGAAAAATGGAAAGTTCCAAATCTACCAATTTTAATTTACAAACGCTTTATGAAAATTGATTTTTTAAGTGCTCATGTAGGGTAGCTCATGTGCTCCCCTTTCCATGGATAATCAACCCCAGAGATAAAAAAGTTCAGGCGCGCGCGGGGATAGCAACATCGCTTGATGTTGCTATCTCAACATAGCGTTTCGAGGTGATAACGAAGTTCGGCCTCAGCGCTCGCCGCCCAATTTGAATTTTGTATAGGGCGACGATAATCAACTCTAAACACTGAAGGGGGGGGGGGTCCCTTTATTATCATCGGCATGCGGTTACCCCTCGTCGGCTCCCCTTAAGGGTGCTGAAACCAGCGCCTCGCTCGAGACATCCTCCGAATCTGTTCTCCAAACGAAAGATGTTGGGACAGAAAACAAGCCCCCCCCCCAAAAAACCCAAACATTACAGTAAACCAGTATGGTAAGGATATGCGATAAGGATGCAAGGGCCTTGGACGCCCATGTAGAAGCTTTTCGAGCGGGGCGCGGCCAACGAAAGTGGCGAAAATGGACCGAGAAGGCAAGGATGCACGGGTACGCTTTGGAAGGCTGCCCATCCTTACGTCGTGGGTTGACTGACTACCTACCAGACCACCCCAACCCAACCCGAAGACCCGAATTTCGGGTTGGGGGGGGTGGTCGAGGGCGCTGAGGACATCGAGGACATCGAGGGCATCGAGGAAATGAGGGGCATCGAGGGCATCTTCTGGCGTGGTTGGAGAGGGGGCGAGGGCATCGAGGGCATCGAGGACAGCGAGGGCTTCATGTGTTTTTCCAATGCTCCTCTATCCCCCCCCCACTGGAGATGGAGTGCAAATCGGGGCCTTCGGCCTTCGGGTTGGGTTGGGGTGGCTTGGTGGGCGGTGATTGAGTGTATCAACACCAGCCGATGTAATCCTCATTGTTTGCCCTCGCTGCCTCCGAGAAAAGAAAACCAAAACCGTGCCATAAAAAACTCTCTGTCGTCGGGGACCTGCTGACCCGGGGCAATGCAAACCAGGGCCAGTCAAGCCTTGCAGAATCCTGCAACATCCTGCCAGATCCTGCGTCCACACCCGGGTCAATGCGGGGGATCCTGCAAGATCCTGCACGA